CGGCGGGCCAACTTTTCGAAAAGGACAGAAAATCGAACGAATTCCACCCAAAAAGCTCAAAAATAGCCTTATTCCAATATCCCTGAACTTCACAGTAACCAAGGCATCCCAATAGCACCGTATATATATGTATTCGATACGCAGGGAGCCCAGGAGAGGAGCAGGGAGCTGTCGATAAGCTAAGGAAGGCTGTTCGACAGCAGGAGGAGGAGGAGGCTGTCGATAAGCTAAGGGGGCTGTTCGACGGCAGAAGGGTGAGAAGGCTCGTCGACAGGAGAGCAGGCTGTTCGACGGCAGGAGGATGGTAGTCGAGGCTGTACGAAGCGTACAGGGACGTCAAGTTGAGGAGGAGGCTATTGCGATGTTTATGTACGCTATGGTTGATATGGAGGTCGTATATGGTACGGAAGCATCGGGAGGGCAGTATCGGTCGCGATCGCTGGAGGGCGAGGACTCCGATTCAGACGATGGTAATTATCGTACGGATGGCGATAACTGAGAATCGATTTGTTTATCAAATAGAACGCTCAATTAAGAGGTCTAATTGAAAGGGGGGTATCGGTTTCCAATCGATGACTTAATTAAGAGATCGACTGGTTGGAGAGCAGAGCCTTGGAGAGCTTGCTTGGGAGGTATGGAGGAATTCGCAGGTAATCAAGAGTAAGGAGACCCTGATTAAATCGAATTGAAGAGCATTGCTACCATTTGTTACAATAAAACATTGTTATTGTATTATAATAATAATATATAGATAGATTAAGAGGAAAGAGAGGTGTGGCACGAGTGGCCAAAGCTTAAATACAGGAATGTAGTCACGTGAGCCTACACGTGACTACTAGCACGCAGTTGCCATGCAACAATGTCGTTAAGAAACTGTTCGGTCTTTTTAATGACTACAGTCGGTCCGATCCAAAAACAACAAATTAGTCGCTCTTTTACGCCCATAATAACTTTTTAACCACAACCCTAATTAATTTATACTAAGTTATGCGATTATAGAATAGAACCAGGCGAAAAATACCTATTAATCGGATTTTTAATATAATTTGTGGTTTATTAATAATTAAGGCCTAAAGTATATGGACCCTTTTTATTTTATTGATTTTTCGTTATACAAAATGCGAATATTTCTACTCGCTAAGGTTATGTGAGCCCGTATTTTAAGGGGATATTATAGTATCTTACTAGCCTTATTATTAATATAATATTAATATTTAAGCCCTATAAGCTTAGAAGAACCTTCCTAAATATCAAATATAGCTTTCTCTAGTACTATATATTATATATATATAGTAGGGCCCTAGTTATATAGGATTCAAGCTAATTTTGGCCAAACTAATTCCATAAACTCTAGCTACCTTTGCTCTCCTGCTTTTATATATTATCCCATTTCTCTATTACCGTTTTAGATATCGTTCTATGGCGTCTTTGCTTCTTTATATACCAAGTAGCTTATTTAATACTCAATCCCTTCCGATACGCATCTATCTAGCAGAACGTATAATTATAGAACCTCCGTATAGTCTCAATCGAACAAGCTTCAAGTGCCTCTACTACCTTAGCTTTAGTATCTGGGAAGCTAGTCTTCTTTACTTAATAATATCAAGTTTTGCTATACCCTCAATATATCTTAATTAGGTTAATTTCGCAGTGGAACTTCGGTAAAAACACAGCCTTATACCCTCGCTCCGTAATAAGCTTTTTAACTTGAGACTTCTCTTTAAAGAAGTCTTAGTAATTCGATAGAATACGAGCTAAATAGTATGTTTATTCAATAGCGGAAAGGTATTTAAGAGATATAGTATACCTAGTACCCTTTAGGTACTTAAATCTTAAGCCAGGAATATTACAACCTCGCTCAATGAGAATCTATTTCATACCCTTAGGCTCTCTTTCTCTATTCGGATTAAGTTACCAAAGGACTTGAATAGTTCCCTATAGCCCCGGAATCATACACTCCGATAGGAAATATATATCCCTCCTATAGGGCTTAATATTACCCTTTTCAACCCCCCCTAATGCCTTATTCATACTAAAGGCATTTAGTATATCTTCGCTATATAAAGCATATACAGGAGACTAAATAAATATTAGAATAGCTATATAGTTTGGATACTTCTATTCAAATATATTAAGCGTCCTAGTAATCTGAACTAGTAGCTGTTTTATATCCCACTAGGGGTCTCCATTTGAGCCTGGATATATAATTTAACGGGCATCCAAATCGGGGTCGTCTGAAATAAAGATGCCTTTATTATTTGGTACCCTAATACGCTCCTCAGGGCCTATAAACTCAGAATCGTAAATTAGCCTCCCTTTATTCTTTCCGGGCATTTTTTGCTAATTATCTACTAGCTAGAGGCTCTTTTTATAATCGAAACCATGGAAATAGCTCTTGTTATAGAAGTATATTACATATACCTGACCCCTAATTAGGAGTATAGGTTAAATCATATACCACGTACTAGCTTCATCCTCCTTATATTAAACTATATATAATAAAAGCTCGTTTATTAGTAGTAAAAATACCTCTTAATAATACTAAATTATATTAGGTTATTCGTATCTATTCATATAAAGCCCTTTCTTAGTCTTATAGTAATAAAGCCGAGCCTAGAGAGCTATAAGTAAGCTATACTACGAGTAATAGGCTTGTTAATTATTAATAATAATCGAGGTAAAATCTCCTAATTAACGGTATTTAGGAAATCGTTTAGTAATATTATTCCAAGCTCTTAATTAATTAACCAAGTTTAATAGGCTAAGAATACGTTCTTATTATCTAGATAAAATACTCTATTTCTTTTACTATCCCTAGCCTCTTACGGAATACCATACTACTATTAATAGTAATTAAATAATCCCCTGATTTGCCGAGCAAGCGTCTTTCCATTATTAAAACAATAATTACTAGCGGCTACTAAGAGAGATATATCGATTCTTCCTAGCTAATATTGCCCTGGCTTTATAAGCTATTGGGTATATTACCAAAGTAAGTATAAGTCAGTAATTATATAAGAGGTATAGGGGTCTTTTATTCATACTAGCTTTATATCCATATCGTTAAGGACTTCCTAATAAGTTATTTGTATGTCTAGAGCTTCGTTATATTATAGTACGGCAGGCCGTACTTATCGAAAATCATATTGTTTTGGCGGTTTTGAGGTTTAGGTCATATGGCAAAGGCCACGGCCTTTTGCACGTGACTTGCAGAAATCACATAAGAAAGCTGGTTTTTCTATAGACTTAGAAAATAATCCTTTATGAGTATTTAATTAATTAAGCTTTTGTATACTATATACTATTTATACTTTACTATTTACGCTTTTGATTTATTATTTTGCTATTAAGTTACGTTTTGCGCTCTGGTATACTTTATATAGGTTTTTGTCTTATTATAGTTTCCCTCCCACAATATCCATAAGTATCTCTAATAAGGGTATCCAGAAGTAGTTCGTTCGCTCTATCGTCTTTATCTTCAAGCCTTTGCTCTTCCCTTAATTACATATCCCTAGAAATATTAATTGGCCCCCTAATAATATCGAATTATAACCTCTTTTATTTAAAAGATAGTATAATTATAGGGGTCTTAAGCCTACTAGATTGCACTATAGCTTGAGCATCTTTTGCCCTCTAGTTATATATATGCATTTATTAAGTTCTTAATGGCTTTGCTAATTTCTTTATTAATTTGGAGTAATACGAGCCTCTAGAAGCTAGAAATATTCTTAGTATACTTATATTATAATATAAAAATAAGTAAATAAGTAAAAAACTTACTAGTTTATTCCATAACTCTCTAATCTCGCTATGTAACTATAGGCTTCTCTAAAATAATCGTCTCATTTCCACTAATAAGAAGCTTCTGCTAAACCCAAAAGAGGGTCGAATCTTCAAGCTCTTTATTACTTGGTTCAATATCTGAATTATCAGAATTATCCTCTATATTAGAGGATTTCCTATACTATTTGTTAATAGTCGCTTGGATTATAGCTTCTTTAGCTATGGTGAGAACTGTAATTAAATCAAGAGTTAAATTAGCTCGCTTGCGTTTCTGAAGATTTATAGAGGTAGCTATTAGAAGTATTCAAGAGGGGCACTTAATTATATTTGTGGTTATTAAGATATTAATATAATCGTGGAAGAGCGGTCAATAGAGGGGGGCAGTCACGTGATAATAAAGTAAAAAAATAACCATATAAAACGCGAATATATTTGCTCGCTTAATTACATATATTATAACTCCCTTAATAATAAAGATATTATAATTTCGAGAGTATAGAATTAATCCCTAGAGTATATAGTATCGTTTTAATTAATACGATTTATATTAACTAGTATTGTGGTGATTTCTATTTTTATTTGTTGCTTTTGGATCGGACCGACTGTAGCTCTACACACAAGACACCCTCTACGCCAATGCCGCCGAGCCCGAGTCGATGGAACTTGCGAGGTTGTGGATTGCTGCTAGAAGCTGGAAGATTCCAAGTCTACAGAACCGGGCCATAGTTGAACTCGCGGATATGGTGATTACGAATCCCGAATCCCGAGCCACGTACAGCGAGTACAGACAACATCCTCAACTATCCCCCCCCTAGTCCAAAGCGCGATCACGATATTGATAACACCACGCCGGCACGGGCCCCATCAAGGGTCGATAGCGAATAGAGACTCTCTAAAGCACCTGAGGTTTCCTATGTTGGGGATATAAACGAGGTTTTGGGGTGGCGTTACTAATCTCGTGATGGCGCTTTGGACTGGGGGGGGGATAGAATGAGTTACTCATCCATTCGTAAGATACCAAGGGTGATACTATCCCCCCCTTGAATAATTACGAGTGGGTCCAATATTCGCCACACTCTCATGCTTCACTCACGCCACGCCTCACCCCATTTTTAGCCAATCAGAGCACGTAGAAGCTTCTAGCTCGCCAGCGTAGCTGAACCATAAGTATGGCAGAAAACACAGCTTCCACTGGCTTTACTTTACTTGTTTATATCCTCAATTACAATGGACTCTCAAGATTCACGCTTCACTACACCACCACCTGATTATGGTAACCTTTATGACGCAGACACTCCACCATCTGCACAGCCTCGCTCTCCTCCTCTCTCTCTTCCTGATTCACAAAAGACTACGCAGTCATGGGACTCTCGCAATAGTCCTAGGCCTCAAATCAACGAATCACAGCACAGTACTCAGTCTTGGGACGCACGTGACCTTCTCCCAGACTCTCAGCTTCTTCCAGACTCTCTCTTTGAGTCTATACCATCTCCTCCTCTCTTTATTCCAGACTCTCAAGCAGAGCCTGAGCTCTCTCCCTTACGTCCGCACGTGTATACTTCCTCGCACGTAGAATGTACACGTGATAAGCGTCTCCAGATCCAAATAGCCCTCCTTTTCAAGATACCATGGGCCCAAATAAAGGAGATACTTGACGTTTCAGATAGCCAAATTACCCACGCGAAAACCCACCGTCTTACACCCCAGAAAACAAAGGCAGGGAGACATGCTAAGCTCCATACACCTGAAAAGACTACACTTAAGGAGTGGTTACTTTCCTCTCCTTCTCACCGTCACGTGGCATATCACAAGATCCCACACTTTCTTCCACAGCTTTACGCCAGTGAGAAAGCTATTCGTACAGCTATAGACGGTATTGATTATTATCGCCGTGTATCACGAAAGAAGGGGTTCTCAGATGACCCTGGAGTCTGTTAGAAGAGGCTAGATTTAGCAGAGGATGGGAGTACCTGGCCACGCTCACGTATACAGCAGGTCTGCTTTATAGACGAGGTATGGGCATTTGGCGGAGCTCATACAAACTCGTATATTACCTGCTTAAAGGATGGAAGCGATCGCTTACTCCCTGAGTGTGTGAGGCACAAGTACTCTAAGCTCCCTGCGTGGATGTTCTGGGGAAGTATAGTCGATGGGAAGAAGGGGCCTTCTCTCTTTTGGGAAAAGGAGTGGGGCTCAATTAACTCTATATAATATGATCTCAAGATTCTCTCAAGAATGGAATAGTTCTTCCGCGACCACCCACTCAGCCGATATAGGTTTTGGCAAGACAATGCTTCTTCCCATCACTCATACGAGACGAAGCTAAACCTACTCCTTCGCCATATCCCTATAATTCAAGCCCCTCGCTACTCACCAGACTTGAATCTCATTGAGCATATATGGAATTGGATGAAGAATTGGATAGAAGAGCACTATTGGGAAGCATGCTACCAGCCGGATAAGATCCGCTTGGATCAACTCCGCAAGATTATACAAGATGCATGGGACGCAGTGCCAGACGAGTATATTCAGGGCTTATATGATAGCTGGTGGAGACGCTGTGAGGCTGTAAAGGAAGCGCATGGTGGGCCTACCAAATACTAAGCAGAATGTAAAGTAGAAAGTGGGAATAGCTTCAATTGAACTGGAAAGCGGTGAAGACTCAATTACGTGTCTTTAGTGGAGTGATGTGTGTGTGGAGATGGTGGCGAATATTGGACCCACTCGTAATTATTCAAGGGGGAGGATAGTACTGTACGGCCTTGAAGATATTAGCTGTCCGGAAGCTCATTTGGGCCTTGCCTTCTATTGTATCGCCGAGAGAGTGACCTGCTGATTTCCCGAAGGTATGATGGTAGAATGATCGTCGATCTTACTGAGACATTGGTAGAACATCACCAATCCCAATTCAATAAACACGGCACATCATGTTCGCCCGAAGGAGACGTCGATAAAGGGGCGCTATTGGCCTTCAATTTTTAAGACACGGCAATTGCCATGCCTAGACCCCAGCATGGAAGCCAATAACTGAAAACTAACGCACAGCTCTCAGCCCAAACTGCAGGCTGAAGGATGTCTTTTGGATCACGCGGCCACCAGCGGTATAATATCGCGTACATGCTGTTCAGACTCTTGACATGCCGTTCAGAACATTCAGATGAAACATGGGTCCCTACATGTTGATATTGCTGCTACTGACAGCGGCGATTGGCTGGGCCCAAACCTGTTACCGTCCCGGCGGCTCAGCGGCTGATTACCGCTATGTACCATGTAACGCGGGAAGACAAAGCATGTGCTGTCGCACAAATGATAACAACTATCCGGACATCTGCAGGACCGATGGGTTATGCCAGGAAACTGAACAGGACGTGATATGGAGAGAGTCTTGTACGGACCCGACCTGGCAGTCTCCGCAATGCTTGCGACTATGTATAGGTGAGCTCATAACCGCAGTCCTGTGATCTACTTAAAGCTTGCTCTAATCAAAGACTTAGACGGCGCTGGTTTCGGCAATGATAATATTATCACTTTCTGCTCTGATCAGAGTATTTGTTGTGGGTATCAGAACATGTCGTGCTGTGGTACAAAGCAAGCTGTTTGGATCTCAAATGGGCAGATTGTGACGACTTCTCCTGGTCCGTCAACCACCTCACAAATTGTCAGCTCTGCGAGTACGCCTTCTACACAGTCCACAAACACCATTACATCCTCTGGGAGTACGCCCTCTAGCCAGCCCACAAATAGTATCGCATCCTCTGAAAATACCGGCCTCTCCAAGGGAGCTAAGACCGGCATTAGCATTGTAGTCTCTCTCGTTGTAATCATTACAACTATTGGCGTCGCTTTCGTCTGTATCCGTCGCAAGCGTTCAAGAAATGCTCTTATAGCCCATGGAAATGGGGCTTTAGAGCTTCGAGGCTGGGACTTTGAGCACAAGGCGGAGTTAACCGGCACTGTACTCACAGTCAACACAACAGAGAGGGGCCTTGGGAAGCCTGAGTTAGACGCAGTCAATACCTCAGTAGCGGCTGTACTCGAGCTGGATAACAACAATACTCGTCAAGAAGCTCAAGAGCTAAGCATTTCAAGGAGCCAGCCTCATACTTCAAACCCAGCCCTCGCACCCATTAGTGAATACGCACCAATAACTGGACTCGACCCAGCAGCAGGGATCCAGGCGCTAGAGCTCGATACTACAATGCCAATCCCTAGAGCTAATATAACTCAAACGTCAAAGCCTTTCATTATTCCACCACCACTAATAGGGAGTACGAGTGAAGTAATGCCGCATCCTCCTAATTTGGGCCTCAGCCTAGCAAATGAATCACAAACCGAAGAAGGCGACCTGCAATACCAGGAACGAAGGTTAAGGGAGAAGCGAGAACTTCTTGCGGAGAAGGAAAGGCTGGCACTTGAAGAGGATAGGTTGAGAGAGAGGAGGGCTAATCTGAATATATAAGAGCAAATGGATAACTAGCTACTCAAGGCTATACTACCCCGCCTTAGTACTCTCTCAGAGTACTATCTATAACGGGTTGCACCCATGAATATACTCAGCGCCATGCGCCTATGCTGCAACCTCACTTGGTGTTACATATATGCAACTGCCACTCCTTAAACCCAACTGAATCCAACTCAGCTTCATTTACTCGCTCGTTCATTAGTCCCTTACCGAGCCCGCACCTCTACAGCTCTATTGCCCGTGCACAAAAGGCTCCCCTGCTGCCCCGTTCCCGTTCCCGTTCTCCCTACATTTTATGTGAGGGCAGTTTCTCGGTGAGAGATCAAAATTGCGGGGTCCTGATTGGCCCGGGCGCTGCTGACTAAGGCACTTTCCGGCAAGGGACCATTTTCTCTTAGCGCCTCAAAAACCCGTGTTTACAAGCCTATACAGACTCCTCTCTTTTATATTCCTCTACCTATACTCCTCTCTTTTATATTCCTCTACCTATACTCCTCCCGTTTAAACCTAGCCTTGGATTTCTGAATAAGTGATTACTCAGTAATTCAAATACTCCAGCGCAGGTATAAGCTTACTGTGATGGGGCAGATTGTATTAGGTCGATTTCTTTGTGTTTTTTTGCAGACGTCACTGAAAGGGATTAGTTATGGGTCACGTGCGCAAAGTCAAGACTTTTGTCATGTGACTTAGCGGGCTGCTGTAAGGGTTTAGCGTGGCCCTAAGCGAAGCGCTAGGCTTGGACGATTATTTGAGGAACCCTGAAATCCTAGCTTCTTAGAAATCAAGTCCTCTGGACCCTACCTCTCCTCCAGGCAAATCAATCGACCGGGTATCACTATATATGAAGGGAACTTTGCCTGTAGTTTAGAACTATTACAGTAAATGTGGTTATATTGTAATATAATCAGACGAGATTAGGGCCGCTTTGCTAAAATTAAAACCTGGTGGCCCTATACAAGCTCCGGGGCTAGTTTTAATTTTGCCCTGATCTCAATTCGAAATTAAGAGAGTTATATAACTTTAGCTTTAATATAAAGCTCTCTCTTTACAGACTACTATATTCCTTAATTATATCTATAAAGCTCTCTCTTTCCTTTTATAAACTCTTTTAAGCCTTACTTTTATTTATTAAGCTTTCTTTTTTACTTAAATCCCTTCTTTTTTTTTTAATTAAATATAGCTATATTATACTCGCAAGCTCGTACTAATATAACATATAAACATATAGTCTTTTAAAGGCTTTTATTTAAATAATTATTAACTTCTAAAGGCTGTTTTCTATTATCTTTTATAAGATACTTATAGTATTCTCTTACTCTTATCTTTCTAAGTTCCTGCTTGCCCGATTCTCTTATATATACTTATATATGTCTTTAAAGCTTGTTTCTTATAAGCTTATTTTCAAGTCTTAATACTCTTACTTATTTCTTTCTTTAAATACTATATTAATAATTTGACTTTTATTTCTGTTTTTAGTATATAAAATATATAAAGAATTATTTAAATTCAGAAAAAGGGCGTTTTTAATTATAACTAGAATAATATTCTAAGGAAAAGAATTAATAAGTATTTATAAATAGGGTTTCTTACTTATAGGCTATAGGCTTATTTATAAATTAATTTATAAATATCTTTTTATTCGCAAATTCCTTTTTTTTATTTATAAATATCTCTTTATTTATAAGTTCTTTCTTTTTATTTATAAGCATCTTCTTTCTTTATATCTCTAAATATTAGCTAGCTATAAGCTAGTACTATATTTCCTCTTGCTTCTATTTCTATTTCTATTCTTATTTCTATTTCTTTCTCTTATATTTATTTATAAACTACTATATATTAGTCCTGCTACTTATTATTTATAAGCTTTTACTAAATTATTTTCTTTTTATTTCCTCTTTTATTTTATTTCCTATTACTTCTTTTCTTTATATTATTACTATTTATTATTTTATAATCGAGCCTAAAACTTCTTTTATTTTCTTTAGGCTTCTTCTTTTACTAATACCTTCTTTAAGTCTATAAAATCCCATATCCTATACTTTTATATCTATAGCTTTATTTTCTTTACTTATAAGATTTACTAGTTATATCTTTTTTATATAAACTCGCTTATAGCTTTATAATATTAGTTATATTTTTATATAAGGCAGGTTTTATAAATATAAAATTAATATCTGTTCTTATAAAAAGAGAAGCTTATAATTAGATAAAAGAATTCATATCCGGAATAATATAGCTAGTTTAAAGAAAAAATATTTATTAGAAGTCTATAAAATATATAAAGCTTATAAAGCCTATAAAATTAGCTTATAAATCTTATAAAAGAGAGTTTATAAAACCTATAGAGTTTATAAAATAAAGCCTGAATTATAGAATAAACTAAAGTTTTAGTAGTCTTATATAAATATATTTATATAATAATATTATTTTTTTCCGGAAAATAATAAAAATATAAAATAAATAAGTTTAGGGCCGCTTTACTAAAATTATTACTAGCAGTCTTATATAAGCTTTGGGACTAGTAATAATTTTATTCTAAATTTATTTTAAATAGATTTAGAATTAAAAAAAATATATTATATAATAAAAATACTAGCTAAAATTATATAACTTAATAAAGGCTTTTAGCTAAATATATAAATTAGATATAGATTCTTTATAGATCTTTTATAAATAATATAAGAAGAAAAATAGCTTATAAATATATAAAGTTAATTATAAATAAACTAAAAGCTAAATAAAACTTTATAATATTTCTAGATATATTATATTACTTATATAATTTATATTAGGAAATAAAAGAATATAAAGCCCTATTTATAAGATAACTTATAAGGCTATTATATAAAACTAGCTATAAGAAAAGACTAGTAATTATAAAACTATTTTTATTACCTTAAATAACTAGTTCTATAATTTATTAATAATTATTATAAAAAATAAAGCAAATAAAAACTATTTATAGAAAAGTATAAAAAATAATTACTAATTTTTAAACTAGAGCTTAATTTATAGAATTATCTATAATTAGTTATTAAAATTATTATTTAATAATTATATTTGAATTAAGAATTTCTTAAAGCTATAAATTAATATCTATAACCTATTATAAAGCCCTTTCTATAAATAAAGATTTTATAAAAGTATTATAAGTATACTAATCTTAAATTATAACTTAGAAAAAAATAAATCTAGTAAATAAATACTTTATAAAACCTTTAGAAATAATTTTTTAATCTTAAAATTTGCTTTATTTATATTAATTGAATTTATTATAAAATATATCTATTTCTAACTAGAGAATATATCTAGAATTATTTAATTAAACTTATAAACTATATTATTTAGGATTAATAAAATTACTTATTTATTAAAGGCCTAGTAATTATATAAGACCTATAAAAGTTATTCTTATAAATAAATATAATTAATTAGGTCTATAATTAATTAGATATATAGAATAAAAAATAGAAATATAATTTATTTATTTAGTCTATAAAATCCTATTTAAATAAATTATTATAAACTTATATATTAATTCATAATAATAATTAATAAAGCTATAGCCAGATTTATATTTACTATAAATAGACTCATATTATATTAGCTTATAAATTATATAAAACTATTAGTAAGATCTAAATAAAGTTTCTTCTAATAATTATAAATACTTCTCTAAAAAATATTATTTATTACTAATTATAAATTAATTATTAGCTAATATATTATTTTAAAATAGTACTTATATTATATAAATACCTTATTTCAAATAATTAGATTTATAAATTATAAGAAAGTTCCGAACCGATTTATTTTAGTAATTATACTTATAAATAACTTATTAAGTTTAATTAAAATCCGGAACTAGAAATAAAATATATATTTATTTAAAAAAAAAAGCTATAATATTTATTAATACTATATATAAAATTATTTTACTTTAGCTATAATAATAATAATAAAGAATTTTATAAAAAAACGTTTTATTAGTTTTATTCGGGCTTTATAAATAGAAATAAATAATTTATAAATAATTTATAATTACTATTATAATTATCTAAAAGCAAAAATACTAGTCTATATTTAGCTAAGCTTATATTATAGTTATTAGTAATATAAAATAATTATAATTAACTTATAGATTAGCTATATAATAGCTTATAGTCTAATTAAAAGTATTTTTAGATAAAGTAATATTTATAAATATTTATTAAAGATTTATAAAACCGAAATTTAATAAAAAGAAACTATAATTATAATAAGAATTAATTAAGAATAGCAAGAAATTAATTAATAAGTTATAGACTAGCTTATAAGCTAAGTTATTATAGAAATATTTCTTATACTAGTTTTAGATTATTTATATATTTATAATTAGCTATTAGTAAATACTTATAAAAAAAGTATTTATAAATTATAGCTAGTTATTAATAAAATAGCCTTATTAAAATACTAAAACTATTTCTAATTATTTTCTATTAAGCTATAAGTAATATAAATAATATAATATATAAAATAATAGATATTCTTAATTAAATATAGCTTATTAAAGAATTATAAACTATATATAATTATTAATAAAAGCTATAAATAGAACTATTTACTTGAAACTAGGCTATAATAATAAATATAACTAATATTATATTCTTATTTATAGTATTTCTATATCCGGGTTTTAATAACTTATATAAAATATTATAAAAACTTATAATATAAATACTAATAGCTATTTTTATATATTATATTATATTTAAAAAAGGCTATTAAGATTAAATAAATATTTATAGCCTTATTTATAACTTATTTAAATAAGAAATCGGCTATAAAATATTAAATTAGGAAAAACTTCTAATATATTAGATATTTAAATAAATACTAAAAAGCCTTTATAGAACCTATATATTAAACCTAAAAATATTAGATAATCTTATTATTTATTCTCGAATTAATAATAATTATATAATCTGTTTTCTTATAAATATATTTATAAATATATTTAATTACTTATATAAATATATAAATCTTAATATTAATATATAAATAGAACTTTTAAAGAAAATACAAGTTATAAAAAATAATCTAGTAATTATTATAAATAATTTCCT